ATCTGATGCCCTCTCCTGGCCTCTGTGGGCACTAGGCATGCACATGGTGTGCAGGTATACATGCGGACAAAACACCCATGCATAAAATAAAATAAAAATAAATAAATCTTGAAGAAATAATCTGTGGGTTGAAGAGCAAATGAAGAGAGAAATAAGAACCCATTTTGACTGGATTGAAAAACGCAAGCACATGGGAGTGGGGAAGTGGGGGGGGGGATGTATAGCCTGCAACCTTAGTGCTTGAGGGTCTGAAAGGGGATCATTGTGAGTTTAACAACAGCCTGGGCTACAGAGTGAGACTCTGTCTCAAAAATAAAAACAATTGAGTAAATGTAAAAAGAAAAGCAGAGGCAGGCACATTGTATCCAAACCACATCATGATGCTAACTTTCCAGGGCAATGCAAAGCACTGGACACAGGGCAAGTTTTAAATCAGTGACCTCAATTGACTTGCACTGTGTATTAACAATCAAAACAAGCCAGGTGGTGGTGGTGCACACCTTTAATCCCAGCACTCGGGAGGCAGAGACAGGTGGATCTTGGTGAGTTCAAGGCCAGCCTGGTCTACAGAGTGAGCTCTAGGACAGGGCTCCTAAGAAACCCAGTTTCGAAAAACCAAAAACCCTACCAACCCAACCGAGAAGAGTCACCTGAAACTAAAGTGAGCAGAGGGAATAATGAAGATTAAGAGGAAATTATTGAAATGAAAAATGCAATGAGGCCAGGCGGTGGTGGTGCACGCCTTTAATCCCAGCACACGGGAGGCAGAGGCAGGCGGATCTCTGTGAGTTCGAGGCCAGCCTGGTCTACAAGAGCTAGTTCCAGGACAGGAACCAAAAGCTACGGAGAAACCCTGTCTCGAAAAATAAAAAAAAAAAAAATGCAATGAAAGCGAAGCTGACTCTTCTAGGAAAAGAATTAGTAATCTCATATCGAATTTATTTGTTAATAAAAAAGAGACAGGTGAAACAACTGACTAATGAGAAAAGAGAGAGGAGACATTGGTATTGTTTCACAGGTACCGGGGGAGTTAGGAACTTTTCTGAACACTGTTGTATAAACAAATTCAAGGACTTGGAAGAAATGGTCAGATACTTCAGAAGACACAAATCATCATAGTTGGCTCAAGAAAAAAAAATTATCTGACCATTATATTAAAACACTTGAAACCTGAGCTGGTGAGAGGCTCAGCATAAGCCTGTGGCTTGAGTTCAGTCCCTGGAGGCTACATGGTGCAAGGAGAGAACCAACTCGTGGAGCTGACCTCTGACCTCCACACAGGCACTGTGGCATGCTGGGCAGAAATATACACAGAATAAATAAGCATAACAATTTATTTTAAACTGAAATATAAGATTTTCCTGCAAATAAACATCCAGGCTTTAGCAGTAATTCCATCTCTTTATTTTGGGGGAGAAATAAAGCCAGTCTACACAACTACTCCAGAAGGGAGCAAAAGGGAAGTCATTCAAAACAGCAAAGAAGGCTATCCTGCCTTCAAGTCATCCACGGAAGGTCGAGTCCACATCAGACTTCCTCAGAGTTAGACACATCTGCTCTTCCAAAGACGTGCTACAGCATGTAAGGGCGGTAACACCCACACCGTGTAAAAACCTGCACAAAAATGTGCCTCACAATGGACTTGTAAACAGAGTATAAAGAACTCGCAAAACCCACTTAGCAATTCACTTTTTATTGTTTACTTTGTTTTGTGTGTGGGTGCTTTGCCTATATGTACCTTTGCCTATATGTCTGTGTACCACATGCATGGCTGGTACTGGCAGAGGCCGGATGGGGGAGTTAGAGCCTCTGGACCTGGAGATACAGAAGGCTGTGAGCCAGCATGTGTGTGCTGGGAACTAAACCCAGGGCCTCTGCAAGGGCAGCCAGTGCTCTTAATGCTGAAGCATTTCTCCAGCTCCTATAACTCAATTAAAAAAAAAAACGGGCAAAAGATTTAAGTAAGCCCTTTACCAAGAAATATTTCTAGATGGCCTGTGAGAGATGCTTAGCAGTAAATCCCCAGAGACACAAACCTAAGTCACAGGATACCGCTGTACACTCACTGAGTGGCTAACATGGAAAACCTCAGACCAGGCATAGTGAGGATGCATGAACAATCTGTGGTACACGGAGTCAAAGTAATGTAGCACAGTAATAAAACACGCTGTGGACATATGCTTCCACATGGGTGAATCTCAAGATAAGGATGTTGAGTGAAAGAATTCACGCACAAAGGATCATTTATGTAACATCCTAGTAAATACTAACTAGGGCTGGACAGATGCTGCAGCCATTCAGAACACTTTCTGTGTTTGTAGAAGACCCAAGTTCAGTTAGCAGCACCCATAGCAGGTGGCTCATAACTGCCAGAAACTCCAGTTCCCGGGGTTCTGATATCCTCTTCTGGCCTCCGTGGGAACTGCACACACACACACACACACACACACACACACACACACACACACACATTTATTGGGCCAGGTTGCTTGTGACAAAAGCCAGGGAGGAGGGGCTGAAGGGGCACAATGGAGCTTTGGTCAGCAGAGGATCTGTTTATTATCACTGGGATGATTGTTTTACATACATATGTAGATTAATTTAAAGTTATTCCCAGTGTCAGAGGCGGGAACATAACAGACACGTAGCCGGGCAGTGGTGGCGCACGCCTTTAATCCCAGCACTCGGGAGGCAGAGGAAGGTGAGTTCGAGACCAGCCTGATCTAGCTAGTTCCAGGACAGGCTCCAAAACCACAGAGAAACCCTGTCTCGAAAAACCAAAAAAAAAAAAAAACCAAAAACAAAAACAAAAACAGACACGTACATATACCTACACACTCAGAGGACATAATCAGGAATTTCAGAAGAGAGACACATGTGGTCATGGAGGACAGGAAATGTATGTGGCAAGGAATCAGAGAACTAGTAGTTAAAAAGACAAGACACTTTAAGCCGGGCAGTGGTGGCACATGCTTTTAAACTTGGTGCTCGGGAGGAAGAGGGAGATGGAACATTAAGTTTGAGGCTGGCCTGGTCTACAGAGTTGGTTCCAGGATGGCCAGCACTACAGAGTGAGACCTTGTCTCAAAACAACAACAACAACACAAAGACACTTCTTTGCTCACCATATTGGCCAAATAACCGAGAAACTCTATTTCTGCAAGTTTATCTCCCTTTTCCTGGCAGTGCACTCTGAGGGCTCACACAAGGCCAGGTCTTTCTTTGGAAATTTTAAAAATTATTACTATTTTATGTATATGGATGTTTTACCTTCATGTTATAATTACATGCATGCCTGTATGTATGGGGACCAGAAGAAGGCACTGGATCCCTGGAACTAAAGTTACAGACAGTTGTGAGCCTCCATGTGGGTGCTGGGAATTGAACCCAGGTCCTCTGGAAGAGTAGCCCGTGCTCTGAGCCACTGAGCCAGCTCCTCAGCCCAAAGCACTTATTTAAATAAAAAAAAAGATTATTTTGGTTATTTTAACAGAGGTGGCTGTGGAGATGGGAAATGGTGAGTCCTTCACGGACAGACACGGGTTTCTTGGCAGCCTGAGTTGTATCTGAAGGAGGAACTAGGATTCTAGGTAATGTTTAATGTCCTGCCTTTTGCTTATCTGCATTAAGAAAAGCATGTTTTGAAAATGCTATGACATCTGGGAAAGTGATAGGAATTCACTGTGGTTTGAGTCGTGAACACCCCTCCCCACTCTAAAGCCCCTGTGGCAGAGGCTGTTGTAACTAGGAGTGGTGTGCCTGGGGAGGCAGAGCCAGCAGGAGGCCCTGGGTCATGGGTTCATGCTCCAAAGGGTGTCGTGGAACTTCACCTCCCTCTAATTTTCTCTCTTGCTCCTTGGGGATGAAGGGAGAAGTCTGTCTCCACCACACACTGCTGTTATGAACTGTTACCTCATCAAAAGGGCCAACCATCGACTGAAAACCCCCAAGCTGTGAGCCAGACATTTTCTCCATATACGGTTATTATTTCAGATATTACAGGGGCAGAAATCTAACATGGAAACCACTATGAAATTCATAATCTAAAAGCTAACTACAATAAAAATGGTGCTATCTCTTGGTATATGTAAGTGTGTGTGTGTGTGTGTGTGTGTGTGTGTGTGTGTGTGTGTGTATGTGCATTTTCCTGGAGAAGGGCATCAGCAAGCTGTTTCTTATTACCGCGTGATTCTCCATGGTTATCTCTGACAGACAATATGGAGAATCTGAAAAGAAACCGTGTGTGTGCGTGTGTGCGTGCGTGTGTGTACATGTTCAAGTGGGTGTAGATGTGCTCGGCCATGTCTGTACAAGTAGAGGCAGGAGACCAGTAAAGGTCTGCCCCTCAACTGCTTCTCCGTCTAACTTTGGAGACACGGTCTTACACTGAACCCAGAGCGCATCACTTCAGTCAGGCTGGCTGGCTAGTGAGCCCCAGTGTGCCTCTTGTCTCTGTCTCCACCTTGTAATCCCACAGCTGGGATTACAAATCCATGCCACCATGCCTGGTTGGTTATGTAGGTTCTAGGGGGATCAAAGGGAGGTCTTCATGATTATACAACCAACAATACACCGACTGGGTCATCTCCTCAGCCCTAAAAAGACCACTTTTAATAATATAACATTTAAAAAACATTTATTTCATTTTGTAAATTGTATACATGCATGTGTCTGTGTGTGGGTTTGTACACATGTGTGCAGTGCCAGTGGAGGCCAGAAGAGGGCACCCAACCTCCTGGAGCTGGAATCACAGGTGGATGGAAGCTGTCCTATGGGGGTGTAGAAACAGAACTCAGGACTTCTGCAAGAGCAGTACATGTTCCTAACCACTAAGCCATCTCTCTAGCCATATCATGTACTATTTTCTTACTTGCGTGTTTTCTTCCTTTTGTGTTCTTACAAAGATAGTAAAATTTCACCATAGAAAACATCACTTGTTCCTATTTTTTGTAGGTGGAAGGTATGCATAGAACCTTAGGTCACAGAGATGTGCACAGTACCTCTTGCTGTGTGGCACGGAACCCACAGTGTTGCTCAGGGTCATTGTGGCAGCAATCTCTTTTCGCTCGCAATCCGAGTCTCCCGCACCTGTGGACAGAAGGGTAAAATATATAAATATATAAAAATATATAATTCTTTGAAGAGAAAAAAAAAATATATATATATAATTCTGCCGGGCGATGGTGGCGCACGCCTTTAATCCCAGTACTCGGGAGGCAGAGGCAGGCGGATCTCTGTGAGTTCGAGACCAGCCTGGTCTACAGAGCTAGTGCCAGGACAGGCTCCAAAGCCACAGAGAAACCCTGTCTCGAAAAAACAAAACAAAAAAAACTATATATATATATAATTCTAGGAGAAAAGCGACGGAGGAAGTAATTAAAGCTGGATGTGGTGGCAGACATTTGGGGTCCCCGCAACTCCGGAGGGTGGGGACCGCGGATGGCTGGAGTACAGGAGCTTGACGCCTGTCTGTTCCACCTAATGAGACCTATGTCACTTGTTAAAAACAAATGAGGTGGTATTCTAAATGTTTACAAAAATAACATAAAACACTTATTGTCCTGCACGGACAACAGATGTAGAAGATCAATCTTCACCATGGGCGACTTAGATTCCCACAAGATGAACACTTGTGACACTAGGCTTGGTGTACATGGAGGAGGAGCCTCAGATCTGTAAGCATTCTACCCACCTGGTGCAAGAGATGGCTTAGCAGTTAAGAACTCGTCTGCCGAAGTAGGGTTCCCAGCACCCACGTGGCAGCTCATAAACATCTGTGATTCCAGTTCCAGGAGCTCTGATACCTTCTAGTCTCCTTGGGCACTGGACACACACAGTGCACAGACACGCATGCAGACTAAACACTCATACACATAAAACAAAAAGAAACCAATTTCAAAAAAAAGAAAAAGAACAAAATCTGACTAAAAACAACTAAATGTGCATGGGAATAACGCCGACCCCTGACTGGCAGTGTGCGGCACTAATCTGGCAGCACTGGTGACGTCCCTGGCTCTGGGCAGGGCTGGGGATTTCAGTGGCTTCTGCGGTTCCATCTCTGTCCCTTTCCAGACTCGTCTGTAACCAACGGCCCACATTTCCACATTAACTATTAGTTTTAAATTATGTATTAAAGAAATACATGACCAATGTAGAAACAATTTTAGAAGCTTTTTAAAAAAAATTCCTAATCCAGAGCCTGGGAGATGGCTCAGCTGGTAAAGTGCTTGCGAGCGAGGGGACACGAGTTCTCTGCATAGCCCAAGGACGTGCATAAAAACAAAACAAAAACAAACAAACTTGGGTGTGGTAGTTTTTAATGCCCGAGCTGAGGAGGCAGAGGCAGGCTGACCAGCCAGCCTAGCTGAACTGGTGCACTGTCAGCCGGTGAGAGACTCAAAACAAGGCAATCAATACTGTGGAATGCTAGCCAAGGGGTTCTCTGGCCTCCACATGTACCTCCCCCCCCCCACTCACACACAGAATACACACAGCATCCACCACCCTTACTAACAACGGGCTTTCCTTTCTCCAAGTCCATATTTATTTTTTCGTGCCTGCATTTTTGATATGTAGCTAACACCAGCATAGAACCTCTTCTTCAGACTCTTGGCTTTGCCATCTCACTGAACACTGTTCTCAAAGGTTGCCTAAGGACGGCTCCGGGTCCGTTTCATTAAAAAGGTCTCCATTCCCTTGCAGTCTTTATTCCTTTATACTGGAGGCGGTAAACTTCAGATTGGTTCTGGGCATGCAAACCTACGTCATCATGCTCGTGTGAGAGAGGCTTTAGCCCCTCGGTCATCTCTCCAGGCCCAGAGCAAGTCTTTGTTTTCTTCAGAGGGAGATCTCACTAGGCAGCCTTGGCTGGACTGGAGCTCCCCATGTAGACCAGGCTGGCCTCAAACTCACTGCGATCTGCCTGTCTTTGCCTCCTGAGGGTTGGGATTAAAGGTCTGCACACCACCCCTGGCCTGGGAGTAGGTTTTTAAGCCTGGAGACCTCGCAAGAAGAAACACAAACAGCTAGAAGAAATATCTCAGCTTCCATCTCTGGCTTTGTACCCCTCTTGCTGTGGATATACCAAGTCTCCTCTGGTGCCTCCATTTAGGATCCACAGTTTTTGTTTGTTTGTTTGATGATTTCTGTCATTCCCTCTGATTTTTTCTGTGCCTTGTTTTAGATTAGCCAGAGCCTGCTTGCGTTCAGCATGAGATTTCACTTAATCACCAAGACATCAGTAACTCCATCGCTAATCTCCCCCCACTATTCTAGTCTGACTGTAGCCTCTATGAGCCTCTATGAGTGTGTGTGTATGTGAGTGTGTATGTGTGTATATGCATGTGGAGGGCTGAGTTCGATGTCAGGTGTCTTAATCACTTCTGATCTATCTATCTATCTATCAATCATCTATCTATCTATCTATCTATCTATCTATCTATCAATCATCTATCTATCTATCTATCTATCTATCTATCTATCATCTGTCTGTCTGAGACAAGGTCAGGAGCTCACTGATGGGAGTGGCTGGTTGCTCAGTGAGCTCCAGGGAGTGCCTGTCTTCCTCCCCAGCACTAGGGTTACAGGCACACCACACACACACACACACACACACACACACACACACACACACACACCCCGCTAGTCTTTGCTGTGGATAGAGAGTGAGCACTTTACTGACTGAGCCACCACCACCCTGGTCTGGCCTCTAACTTTAACTCTTTGCTGCAGTGCTAAACAAACAGACAAACCCACTCTCGAGTATCTGGAGCACGCTCAGAGCAAGGTACACCTTCGAGTTCACTTCCTGGTTGAGCTGTGTCTTCACATTCTCACTCAAAAACCTGCCTGACTGAAACAGAGCCCCCGCATCTAATCTGCTCATTTCAACCGAGAAGCTCACTGGTATTTGGTGTTTCCCAGGTTATTACAACAATATTTTTAGAAACCCACAGCCTTCACTTTCCCGCCCTCTGTGCTAGGCAAACACTAGGCAGCACTTGTCTCCTTCCACTTCCTGGTTCCTGACAGTTCACGAGAACAGGCTCATACAACGTGTGCTCTTTTAGAACCGGCTTCTTCCATGTACTATAGGCCAGCATGTAGCATGAACCCGCATTTCCTGTCTGGTCACGCAGCGTTAAATGTGAGCACACCACAGTTGCCTGTCCACAGATCGGCCGATGGACACTGGGCCGTATGCACCTGTTGGCTATTGTGGATGATGGCAGTTTAGTCATTGGCGCCCACACTTTTGAGTGGCCTTCTGTTTTCATTTCTCCTGAGTACACACTCAGGGCTGGACTAGCTGGGTTCTTTGGCCTCAGTGAATAGCTGATGATCCATGAAAACCTCCACCAATCTCCTCCTGCCCAATTCAACCAGAACCAAAAATGAGAATCCAAACCCACCCTCCTCTCCAAACATGATTAGATGTATTTTCCCCAGGGAGGACTTCACTTTGAGCATTAGTGACGTGCGCATTATCATCTTCCTTCCTCAACCTCTCACAACCTTAAATGTCTCGTGGCCAGTGATGGCTGAGAACAGTGCCAAGAATGTTGCCTTTCAAGTCTCGGGGCCCTTGGGTCAACTAAACAATCTGGCTAGCTTAGCACAGCTCTCATCAGCGAGACAACAACTGAAATAACACGGTTTACTCTTGTTCCTCGGATATGGAAGCCGTCCAGTGACGGGAAGTCAGCGAGTAGCTTGTTCACAGGCCTTGTGGAAAAAAGAAGAAACAGAGAAATCGAGAAGAGAAACAGCATGTCCAGGACTTCCCTTCCCAGAAACCTGGAGGCTGATTCACTGGGGCTCTCGATTGCTTTGCCATTTTTAAAAAAGATTTACTTATTTTTACTTTTCTGTGCACTGGTGTTTTGCCTGCATATATGTCTGTGCAAGGGCGCCAGATCCCTTGGAACTGAAGTTACAGACAGTTGTGAGCCGCCATATGGGTGCTGGGAATTGAACCCAGGTCCTCTGGAAGAGCAGCCATGCTCTAAACCTCTGAGCCATCTCTCCAGCCCCTACCTTGACATGTTTTAATCATATCACTTCTGAGACAAACCAGGAGCCAGTGAAGCTGAAACCCCACGGTATTTCAACATCAAGGAAGGAAAGAAGAGTCAGTCTTCACTCTGGAATACCAGCCACCTCCCTCCTTCCTTTCTTCCTCTCCCTCTCTTCTCCTTCCCTTCTCTCTTCTCCCTTCCTTCATTCCTTGAATATGCTGAATCTCAGGAACTTAACTGTTACCCCACACCTGTACATGGCTTTCCTCAAACTAAAACCCAGAATTTCTTATTTCCCAGCCCAGAACGTTTTCCCTGAACTGCACGCCCAAGTCGTCATGCTTTGGAGGACAATCCAGAACACTTCAGTGTCACGTCAGATGGGGTTCCTGGTCATGTGCGTCCCTGAGGTGCACAATACATATGTATTCAGTACTTCAGCCTACAGAGTGGAGAAATTCGGGGACATCATTAACTTAAGAACAGGGCTGGAGAGGTGGGCTCAGTGGTTAAGAGCAGATACTGGGTTTGGTTCTCAGCACCCACATCAGGTGGCTCACAACTTCCTCTAACTCCAGCTCCAGGGGATCCTATGACTCTCATACACACATACTCACATGTGTGTTTGTGAGTACATACACACATATGAATGTAAATAATTTAAAATAAATCTTTAAAAAGGAATATAAATATCTCACATATATGCCCAGAGGGCTTGAGATGTGATTGGATAGCCAAACACTTGTCAAGTGCGTACAAGGTCCTGGGGTCATCTCTTAGCACAACACAACAAATGGGGTATGGTCAGAGGGTCTTGGAGGGGACCGGCAACTTTGGGTTCACAATGAAGCCAGTCTCTTAAAATAACTGTTATTCATCTCTTGCTTTCAGAGGGTGGGCCAAGGCATTGGAGGACTGGAGGATTGGGGCATTAGAGAGAGTCAGATGTCAGAGGGCGGCTGGGGCGTTAAGAGAGAGGGCTGAGGCATCAAAGAGTGGGATAGGGCAGCAGAAGGTAGATAGGCATCAGAGGGTGGGGTGGGCATCAGAGGGTGGGGTGGGCATCAGAGA